GACCCCTCCATCTTTCAAGCGCTATCTTATCGGCCATGCGGGGCCCATTGAGAATGGGGCCGCTCCGAGCCGACGGCGGCCGCCGGCCTTTGGTTCCGAGTGAGGTACTGCTTAGGTGCTTGAGTGCTTACCTCAAGTCCGTAAGGCATCTTTCTACTATTTGTTGCCCTATATACAGGGAGACATGAGGCCGTGAACTTGGAACTTGTGCAAGACACCTTAGCTGCAGCATAATGGTAAGGTCGAGTCACTGGCGGGATTCATGAAGATTCAGATGAGAAAACTGGAACCGCAAAAGCTTGTCTTCCAACATGTGGGTAAGCCAGTATATACGCAGTAGAGACTTACACCCACTGGTGAGTTTCGTGTTTGTTGCTGAATGCTTTTCGGTGATATTGCAAGCCTGACGCATGTCCGCAATACCAACAATCCCCCATTCATGACATGAGGATGAGGATGAGATGACAGATGAGATGTGGCGGGGTATGCGAGCCCCAAGTCAGCGATTTCCAGCGCTCAGTCAGCCAACACCGCTAGCTTGGTAACCCGTGCGGGTACCTGTCGAAGCGAAACCTCACCTCAATTACACCCCTGTCTCTCATCCTCTCCCTCATCTCAAATATCTGGTTGGTACTCACTTCATCTCAACTTTTCGGATCGATCAGAGTATCAATTGTAAAAAGGCGAACAATCCATGATTCAGTCTCATCCATTTTAATGATCATCATCCCACCACTGATACTAATCTCAAGCCTCTTCACAACAACCCAAACCTGCCCAAACCACTCGTCCCTCCACGCCCTCACTCTCAAAATGCCCCAAACGTACAACAAAGCCTTCATCCCCCTCGAATCCAACCCCCAAGTCTTCAACGAACTCATCGCTGCCCTTGGCGCCTCACCTGACCTCCACTTCCAAGACGTCTTCGCCCTCGACGATCCGGCCTTCCTCCCACCCAAGATCCTCGCCCTCATTCTCGTCTTCCCTACAACGCCAACCTATGAAGCGCGGCTGACGGCCGAGGACGCCGGCGCAAAGGACTGGATGGTGGAACACGATGAGGAGGACGAGGATGCGGTGTGGTTTAAGCAGACTATCAATAATGCCTGTGGTTTGTATGCTGTTTTGCATGCTTTGGCAAACGGCCGGGCCAAAGACTTTCTGAGTGAGTTGCCATGACTTTCCTCTCGACCCCTAACCAAAAGCCCCCAAAAAGACTGACAAGATTCAGCGCCGGGATCGTTGTTAGACAACCTCCTGTCCATCACAGCGCCCATGGACCCAGCCCAGGCCGCCATGGTGCTAGAAAGCTCAACAGAACTCGAGGATGCGTACGCTGCTATCGCGACAAAGGGCGACACGGCGGCACCGCAAAGTGCAGAGGACGAAGTCTACTTCCACTATATCTGCTTCGTCAAATCACCAGACACTGGCCACCTCTACGAGCTGGACGGAGATCGTAAAGGCCCGGTGGACAGAGGGATCCCAGACGAAGAGGAAAAGGTGGATCTCGGACCAAAATCTGTAGACATTGTCAGGAACTTCATTCAGCAAGGAGGAGACGATATTGGCTTCAGTCTCTTAGCCCTAACTGAAGGGGCATGAACAAGCACGTGCGTCTACGTGGAAAATCATTGTCGGGCATAGCCAGGTCCAACCAGCACGTTTTGGCCGAGGCATCACGGTGGGATTGTTATTCGGTCCTTTATTTTCTACGGCCGGGTCGTTCATGACGCCCCTTTAGCTCGCCTGGATAATCTTCTCCAATTCATCAGGGTCCTTGATGGTGGGCGTCAGGTTCTCACTGCCGTCCTTGGTGATGAGGATGTTGTCCTCGATTCTGCAAACAAATTAGCACCCTATACAGCTGAGAGCACCGGGATCAGGGCCTAACTCACCTCACACCACCAACATCCCAGTACTTGTCCAGGACGGCTTGGTCAATGAACTTGGAGTGAACGGGGTCCTTGAGGTACGGCTCAATGATGAAGCTGCAGAAGTAGATACCCGGCTCGACAGTGACGATGCTGCCGGCAGGGATCTGGCCTCTGACACGCAGGTACCGGAACATGGGGTCTGTATCGGCGTAGTTGGGGTTGCCACCGACGTCGTGGGTGTCCATGCCCAGGTAATGGCCGAGGCCGTGGGGGAAGAAAGCGACACTTGTCCTGCTCTTGAGGATCTCGTCCTTGTCTCCCTTGAGAATGCCGATAGCGTGGAGGCCATCGATGGCAATCTTGTGCGCCAGCAGATGAATGTCATCCCAGACGACGCCCTCCTTCAATGCAGCAGTTGTCTCGAGCTGCATCTTCAATACGGTGTCGTAGATCTGACGAGACTCCTTACTGAACTTGCCGGAAATGGGGAATGTGCGGGTCTAGTCAATATTAGTTGGGCGTTTATAGAGGCACTGTGATGCTAGACACTTTACTCACAATGTCAGATGCGTAGCAGTTCCATTCCGTGCCAGCATCAAGAAGAAGGTTCAGCTTTCCTTCCAGAGGCGCATCGTTGGCGACATAGTGCAGAGTGGCAGCTGCGCGACCTCCGGCAAAGATGCCGTGGTAAGCCTGGTTTTTGGCACCATTCGCGACGCTGTGCTGCAGGAACAAGGCCTCCAGTTCCCTCTCGTTCTTGGCATTCTTGACAGCCTTGACAACGGCATGGTGGCCAATTGTCGAGACATGGTTGGCCTTTCTGGTGAGGGCAACCTCGTAGTCGTCCTTGACCACACGGCAGCGCTCAATGGCATCCTTGAGAACGCTAAAGTTCTTGTCGTCGAACTCGAGGAAAGTGATGTTGTCGAGAACCTGGTCTTGGATGGCAAAGACGGTGTTTTTGGAGCCCTTGCCCAGCCGCGCAAGCTCGGCATTAACGTCTGTGGTGTACTTCACATCGTCGATATCGTACAGTTCCTTGGCCTCGGCGGCGCTGACGGGCAGACCAGACCAGATGACGCTATCGGGATCGATAGGGGGGATGAAGAGAGTCGACTTGTTTGTCGCAAGATCGAAAACGTAGTGGCAGTCGGCGAGAGGGCAGCCGGTCAGGTAGTAGAAGTAGCGGCGCTGTCTTTGCGATGGGTGTCAGGCATAATTGAACATGTAAGGTTGGTAGCGGTGGGCCAAAGGTTAAGATAGACGCTAGAGATGATACCTGAAGGGCTCGGGCTCGTCATTGTCCTCGAGCATCTTGGTCATGCGACCCTCGACATAGAGAACACCAGAGGCGTTTGGGACCTTGGACTTGACATAGTCGGCGACGCGGAGGGCATGCTCCTTGGCGGGGTACTTGCCCTTGAGCACCGTCTCATAGTCTTGAGCCATGGTGGCGGTGGGTGTGGCGGAGAAGAGCCGCCTTGGTAAGGTCTGGAAGGGAGCTGCTTTGCAATGCGACGGGGAAGCTTGCCGTGATCTGCCAAGGCGTCTGGGTGCTGCGGCGGTTGATAGCTGTTGGAATCGGAGTTGACCGATGAGGCTCCTTGCTGCTTGTAGTGGTGGTGGTGATAGTGGTATTGTTGGTGGTACAAACTTGGATCGGAGAGCAAGAATGTTGCGTGCTGACCGAGTGGATGTCCTGGTCAACATGAAGGGAGTCCAGCCGGCTGCCACACCCGACGATTCTGCCTTTGTGGAGGGGTCAGGAACTCTGGAATTCAGACGAAGGAGGGGCACTGAGCAGTCAGCAGCACTGTAAGCCGAGTTTAGGCGCAAAAGTACCTCAAGATGATATGAGGTGAGGTGCTGAGAAGCGGGACAACGATAGCTGTAAGGCACCTTAGTGACGAATCAGAGCTCTCGGACGCGTCGGATGAGGAAGCTGGTTTGCGCCAACGGGCCCTGAATGGGGTCGAATTTCTTGAAAGCTCGACGCCTTTCCCACCACGGCGGATGAGAGCAACAGTGCAATCTCGAGACTTGCGTTACGTAATCACACGGTGCTCGGATGGCTCCACTTCCCTCGGCACATCACGTAAGGTAAGCCGATGTGGCCCGACACTGGCAGAAACCTGAGACCTCTTTCTGGCAGCTGGCAGCAAGAGTACGGACTTGAGTACGTACATGGGTAAGGTCAACGCTTAGTAACCCTACCTTAGGTACGTAGTAGCCAACGAAGCTCGGGAGAAGAAGGCGCGAGACGGTCGGTACCTTAGGTTCACGATATCACCACAATACCTCAGGCTGTTTGTTCCATTTGTTTCCCCAACTCCAATGCAAACTTCTGACGTACAACAACTTCGAGCTTCTCCAAGACTCCAACCCGCCCTCCACCTGTTCACATGTCATGTTCATGGATGTCTAGTGCCCGCATCCACAACCCGTTCGCGATTGTCCTCGTTAATCCCTTTTTGGCTTCCCTCGTGGCACTGGAACCTGAACCCCTTCACTGGAACCCCTTCGCCGAGGCGGCTCAACCAAAAAGCAACGACGATACAGCTTGCCCCTCCAAACTTCAATTCACATGGACCGCCATTGACGTTTCATGGGTCATGGGACGCTGAATGCTCAAGGATCTAGATATAAACACCCCAAGCAACGCTTGCACCGGGTTGTCTTGTCTTGGTCGAATGATTCTTACAAACATCGAATCCCTTCAGATGGCATTCAGTTTTCGACCAAGAACTCGGGCTGGCCGACCCCTCCCCTGCTGACCACGACCATCAGTCTGCTTTGCACATGAAGGAGCCGTCACTGTACTGTTTCAACTGCGGCCTGCATCCTCTTCGCAGCTAGACCAATCAAGACCAACTGCAGTAAACCAGTACGGGCTTCCATCACCACACCAAGGATCGCCTCCCCTGAACCTCAAAACCTCGTTCCTGTCTAGCGTCTCTTTTTCTTTTGCTCCAGCGAAAGGGTTGCGTCGCTTCAGGCGAGTAAATCCTCCCGAAGCCACCCCCCGCCAACCTGCACAACCAAGAGACTCAGATATCCGGCTAGCCAAACAGGGCAGAGACCGGCACGGCGAAGCAACGACATTTGTCAATTTCCAGAACCAACACCTATCTAGCTGCTGTTGTTATTGCACTGCCCCCTTCATCAAGAACAACAGGCCAAGACTTGCCATTTCACCGCATCAACATTCGCAACATCAGCCATCAGATGATGCCCAAAAAGCCCACAAGAGCTACGCCTAAAGTTTCGTTCCACATTAGCTGGCCTGGTCGTGATGAAGGCCGCGGACAGTGTCCGACAATCCATCGCCTTCGTGGCCTGCCTCCACTGTCTTGGCCAACACCGAGGGGCATCGATGGATGCCATCCCGCAGAGAACGAGCATCCACCTGGATGGGCTCAGTCCAACATCCCAACATGCGACTGATTACTGATTTGCTCAGAGCCTCACACTACGTTACAGCAACTCCACCACAGGTCCTTTCTGCTTCTCCAACGTCAGTGCTTTCTTCCCCGATCTTGGCCGCCAACCCACAGAATCCCCAGGGGGAATTACTGGACCTGTGTTTGTCCACTGGTACTTGAACAATGGGCCAAGAAACCCCCCAGTCGAGCCACTAAATAATCAACCCGAGTCAAGTCTGAACGTCCGTCTTGGTCACTGGATCCTGGCATACCCAGGTCCTGCCACCGACCTTTCAGATGCCACCCCGGAACTATTGTCCCAGCAGTACAGATACCGTTCGCGCCCAAGATGTTGCGAGGCTCGGGAGATAGAAGAGACATGAATATGTGACAGCAAATCGAGCATAAATTGTTTGGCGTAAAGGACGCGAAGCCGACGAACGAGTGGTTATTGCGTACACCGTCAACGAGCAGCAGACCCTTGCAAAATTCGAATGTCACGGAGCAACCTGGCTCCTGGGTTGGTTACTCCGTAAACCTACAGATAAGATGTGGCATTCTGTGACCCGTCACCCAGGAAGTCTCGTCTTCTGGGGACCCTATCTGAACCCACCGGCTTGCCCAGCCTCTGTCGTCAAAATCTTCTGGCTTGCCACGAGCCCAAGGCGCAGAGCACACGACCTGCTTCAGATCCATCCGGCCATATGAAGAACCGAGAATTCGCTGCGAAGCAAAAATGACTCTGGTGCTGATCTGCTTTCCCGAAACATGCAGAGGTACCTAGCCATCACGGAGGCAAAGACAGACAAGCGCCTTGGTATGTCCGTAATACGCGAACAATCCCAATGAGGTTGGTAGGTGGCGGGCTGTGGGCAAGCAGCTAGATACATCTGAATACGGGCATTATTCGTCAGTATTCGAAGCGTCTCGTTCTACCCTCGAACATCTCGGGCCAAACCCCGACGCCCAGGGTTGGACGCTGCCGTATGCCGGCCAACATTCTTGGGTTCATGGATGGCGCCTACGAACCGAATCAGGCATTCCGATCCCGTACCGCTCGAGGTCCATCACTCAAGTACGGCCTACCATGCTCGGCTTTTATTCGTTCGCGGAGCCAGCAATCTTCCATGGTACGCCAGTTCAGTCAACCGTCTGATACAGTCTCGAAATTAGCGCTTCCATGGCCCACCTGCTATGGCCCCGTTCCTAATTCAAAACTGCTTCCGTCCAATACGATACGTGACCGAAGAGGGTATCGAATCCTTCACATCTCCATTGTACGGTCTTTTAATCTTCCAACACTCTACCCCGCAAGGAACCCCGACCGCCACGCCCGTCCCCCGGCCACCCTCCGCTCCCGTTATTTTTGCTCGCCCGCACGTCTGCACCTTATTTAGGCGTCTTGGGGCTCGGCAGTCCGCCTGGTGTCGGTCCGATAAGGCCATCTCTCTTTACGGTTCTCTCAAATGAGAGGGAGGCGGTCTCGAAGCCTGGTCAGCAGCCCAATCACGACTTTCAATCGACGTGGGTCTGTTCTCACATTGCTTGCAAACTGCCCTCCCTCTTTTCTCCCGACATGACGTAGGACAAGCCTTGCTGGGAAAAATCCCACGGCAGCCAGGATACGGGGGTACGATGCCGGACATGGATCAGAGGCAGCCCGCCTCTTTGCGCGAAAAAGGCTGGTTTTGCCTTCTTCAATATGACAGTACGGTCTCGATGTCGCTTACCACTCAAATCAACATTGCGCTGCACAGCTCAAACTTAGCTCAGAGCAAATGCGCGTAGCCCCAATCCCAAGACTTGTCAAGATGCTCCATGCTCACTCAAGCCTTTCGGCCTGTCCCCTATATCTTTCTCGGCGATGGACTATGTGGATAATAAGCAACGCGAAGCCTCGACGATCGAGCTTGAAGTCTTTTGTCCTTACCTCCTGTCTCTGCTTCCCCGCGCTTGGCCGGCTGGGATGATTGCGTGGCGCTCCATGGCGGCCAAAAAGTCAATGAATGCGCCAAGCGCTTGGCTCTCACGATCACTTCTCAGTATTGCGGGACGCGTGTGACTGGATGAACGACTCAGATGCCTCAAATCTTTCTGCACGTTACATTGCGAGGCACTAATACGCGACACCGACAAGGGACCTGCGCATGTGTCACCTGGACAGTAACTATTCCCTTCCTACGTCTCCCTTGGATGTGTTATCCCGGAGAGAGCCCACTTGTACTCCGTACAAACCCGTCAATTCGTCGGCGCTCTCACCCCTGGTGGAAAACAAACCACCGCCGGCGCAAGCTGTAGGCAGAGCAAAAAGTACCATCTACGGATACAAACCGCCAAGCTCTACTACGACAGGGTTTTAGCACCAGAGAGCCCATGCCCAGACCAACAATGCGAGTCCAAAGGCTAGACTCGAGCGGATTCTCCCTCCTCGCGTGGGGCAAGGCAGTATAGGAACTTGATTACCTTGCCGATCTCGACCAGTCCCTTCACGTTCCTGTAGAACCAAAACTCCAGAGAACTGAAGTTTATGGGGTGTGTGCGGAGACGCCAAGGAGACAACTGCTCGAGTTTCTGGTACAGGATCATCGGCTGTTTTCGTCTGGTACCATGGGGTCGGTCTTGCCTCTCACGCCTCTATAAAGATCCACGGCTGCCCATGCGACGGTGCCATGCTGTCCATTCACTCTGGCTTGTCCTGTACGCGCGCCGAGCTTCCATTAATTTGTGAAGCCATCTCAGACGTTGTCACACGTCAGAAGCTCATTGTGTCGAAAACAGTCAACAGATCCAATCAATAGTCAAAACCAGATACGATACAGTATACTCGCCCATCGCCAGGATGGCTGATAAGATTCACCCAGAGGGGTAAGCTCTTCTCGCCAGTATTCCAGCCTTCCGAACTTTCTACTAACACAGATAACTTTCTAGCGAAAAGGTCGCCGATGTCTCTGGACATCATGAAGAGCGTGGCACTCACCAGCCCGACCCAGTTGAGCTCAGCCGCAACATCGAAGCAAAGTAAGTTGCCTTACACTTGTACGCGCCGAACCAAACCATGTCTGACCATGCATGCAGGATCAAGAATCCTCTCGAGGGAATCCCATACAACCAGCTCATGCGCGATGTCGAGGCCTTTTGCACTGAGCACGGACTACAGGAGGAGATTGCCGTGTTCCGCAAGGGCGCACTGGTAGCTCAAGATCCAGAAGGCTATGAGACTCTCACCGGCAGTGAAGCCCTCGATGAGGCTGAAATTACAGCTTTGCGAGAGGAAGTCACCCACAAGTGGCGTTTGCCCAAGAAGCTCTACTTGACCATCATCACTTGCTCAATCGGCGCTGCCGTTCAAGGATGGGATCAGACTGGCACCAACGGCGCCAACATTTTCTTCCCTGAGGAATACGGCATTGCAACCAGCAGCACCAGAGACCGTCTTATCCTCGGCCTAGTCAACGCTGGCCCTTACATTGGTAGCGCTCTCTGCGGTTGCTGGCTGTCTGACCCTCTCAACCACTACTTTGGCCGTCGCGGTGTCATCTTCTTCTCGGCTCACTTCTGTATCTGGCCTCTCATCGGTTCCGCTTTCAGCCACAACTGGCAACAACAACTCGCTAACCGTCTTCTCATGGGAATTGGTATGGGCGCGAAGGCCTCGACCGTACCCATCTACGCTGCCGAAAACTCTCCGCCATCGATTCGTGGTGCCCTGGTCATGTCATGGCAAATGTGGACGGCGTTCGGCATCGCACTGGGAACTGCCTTCAACCTGGCAGTCTACTACGCCAAGTACAACTGGCGTCTGATGCTCGGTATGCATACTTACATCACTTAAAGACTTCACATGAAAGCCAGGATCACTAATTCGTTCGACTCGCAGGCGCTCCTTTCCTCCCCGCCGTTCCCTTGCTCTGCTTGATCTACCTCTGCCCTGAGTCTCCCCGTTGGCTCATGAAGAAGGGTCGTTACCGCGATGCTTGGAAGTCCATGATCCAGCTCCGACATAACAACATCCAATGCGCTCGTGATATGTACGCTATTCACGCCCAGCTGCAGCTTGAGAGTCAAGTCCTGGGCAAAAGCAACTATGCTAGCCGCTTTATGGAACTCTTCACCATTCCTCGCGTGCGCCGCGCCAACTTGGCTGCTTTCACCGTCATGATTGCCCAGCAGATGTGTGGTAAGTGAAAATAACGTGTCGTACACCCCTCCGTGGACGGAGCAGTATCTGACAATATTGTGCAATGCAGGTATCAATATCATTGCCTTCTACTCGACAACTATTTTCAAGGATGCCAACATGGGCGATTTCCAGGCTCTGCTCGGTTCATTCGGTTTCGGAATGGTCAATTGGCTCTTTGCCTTCCCCGCATTCTGGACCATTGACACCTTTGGCCGAAGATCCCTGCTTCTGTTCACCTTCCCTCAGATGACTTGGACTTTGTTGGCCGCTGGTCTTTGCACGTTGATTGCGCCCGGTGTAACTCGCACTGCTCTGGTATCTCTCTTCGTCTACCTTTTCGGCGCCTTCTACTCGCCTGGTGAGGGTCCTGTACCCTTTACCTACTCTGCCGAGGTCTACCCCCTCTCTCATCGTGAGATGGGTATGGGTTTCGCCGTGGCCACTTGCCTGTTCTGGGCCGCCATTTTGGGAATGACTTTCCCGTTCATTCTCGACAGACTCCACGTTGTTGGTGCCTTTGGCCTCTACGCTGGTTTCAACGTCGTTGCCTTCGTTATGATCCTGTTCTGGGTCCCCGAGACCAAGCAACGTACGCTGGAAGAGCTCGACTGGGTCTTTGCTCTGCCCACCGCCCGCTTTGCGCACTACCAGGTCACCAAGGCGATTCCCTACTTCTTCAAGCGCTGGATCTTCTTCGACCGCAACGCTAAGCTGGAGCCTCTCTACACCTTCCAGCAACACCAGCGTGAGCAGCGCGCGGAGCGTGTCCCCAGCTCCGATGAAGAGAAAAAGAGCTACTAGGCTTGCCTTTTGCGGAGACTAGGCTATGCACACTAAGCGAA